TATACTGTGAATGAAAGGTTTGAATACTGTATGGAATATAAAAATAAGTCTGATGTGCTTTACAGTGTAAGACTCAAGTATCTATAGTTTTATAAGATTAAAATGTTTGTAGTATATTATTGCTCCTGATGTAATATTATGGATTTAATTCTATAATTAGACACCAGCAACATAACATTAGATGTCTTAAGCACCTGTAATTAACTTTTAAGCTTGTTGTTTTTTTTTATATTCTGCCTATATCTCATTTATGAGGACATGGATTATTCTGATACTCTGGAGATCCTATGATCAATGCAGGTGAAGCTGGATGAAGCCTCAGGAAGTCAAGGGGCTCAGCAGCCTGCTACAGCAGGAGCAATTATACCTAAACCATGTCTGGCAGTTAATTAGCTAAGCTGCTCTTAAAACCCTCCTGTGATTTAGATTCCACTTTCCCTTGGTGGTTGATTTCAGCGCTGAACTATCTGGGCAGCTAGAAAGATTTCCCTAATGCCTAAACTAAATTTCCTTTGCTGCAGTTTAACCCTTCTTGTCCTATCCAGTCAAGAATAATTTTATACCTTTCCTTTGACAGCAACCTTTTGCATAGTTGAAAGCTTATCATGGAGGGGTCACATCATTTTAAATTAAAAAAATCACATAACCTTCAGTCTTCTAGCTCATGATTTCTAGTTTACTGATTCTTCTTGCTTTCCTCATGGCACTCTTTGAATGACTTGACTTACTGGTCTACTGTGAAGCCTTAGACATGACACTCCTCAGCTTGATGCTATTTTTGGAGCAGGGAAGTGGTGTGAGCTGATGGGAGCCCATGCAGATGCTCTGGACTGAGGCAGAGACAGGCACCTACTTGGTGGGCACTGGCTCAGATCTCAGACAGTGCCTATTTGCTGGAATGGCAGGGTGGGCTGTGCAGCACACAGCAGCCCTGTGCCAAGTCATGACACCAGCAAAGTTGCTGCTGGCTCCTTTGCCTCTACACCATGTTTCCCTTTGCAGAGCCAACATGCCCACTTACTGACTTCCTTAGAACAGTCTGAAATCTACAGATTAAATGTACTTTGAGATGTTGTAATTTTTCTTTTACAAAACCATGGGTCTGTAATTTACATCACTTAATGTGACAAGTACAAATCAATCCACATGGTGTATATTTTTGAGGTGTTCCTGGCTTATTATTTTATGTAGTTAGGGCATACTTTTTAAAGCATTTCTTAGGACAAAACATTGGGAGTTAGAAAATGCCAGCCATAGTCTTTGTTTCATCCACATGAAAAGCAGTGATACATCAAGATTATTTAAGTAGGACCTTGATAAGGTGAGGCTCCTTGGTTCACTAGTATGGTCTGGGTTTGTGGCTTTTCCTCCTGAGCTCTGTGTTGAGACTTAAGACCTTTTTTCATGTTTGCAGAGCTGAGGCTTTTTAATGGCCTGCTGCAAGCCCACTGAGGTCAGTGGCAGTGAGTGCTGGTGATGCTTTCAAGCCCTATCTATTGCTACTTCAGCAAATCAGCTTTGGCTCATTTGTTCCATTTGGAATTGAGCAATCTTCACACACAGCAGGAGCAGAAGCAAATGCATAGCCTTAACAATATTTTTCTGATGGCTTTAGCAGTTTCTTAAGATTAAAATGTAGATTAAAGGCGTCTCAAAGACTAAAGAGAGGACTATCTACATTACAAGATTTATTTACAATATGTATTTTTCCAACTTTGCTAACTATTATACTAAAAGGAGGAGAAATTCAGACTGAACATTAGAGCCCAAATTTCTGATTAAGTGCTCTCAAAAGTTTGCTGTAAGCACTGTCACAAGCTGCTTGTCTCAGCAAGCAGGCCACAGGAAGGCAGAATTTTGATGAAAGATGTAGGTCGCTAACTGTTGTGGTGTTTGCATTTTCAAGAGTGATGCAGTTTTTCAGATAGGTCAGTCAGCATCTGAAGAGTCAGTACCCACTAAGGTTCCTCTCAACTTCACCAAAGCCTGTGTTGGCAGTTGCATTCTTTATTTCATATATATATATATATATATATATGTATATAGACACACAAACACACACTCTTCTTGGGGGGAAATTAATAAAAAGTAGGAAAGTGGAGAGGAAAGGAAAAATACGAACAAAAATAATCTGTTTCTCAGGGAACTACTAGTGTTAAACATTGTCTCACTCTACAGGTAGTTTAAATATTACAAAAGACAAGTTTTGTATTTTTAATTTTAAATGCTTCACAGATTATCCTGCTTTACTCGTGCAACTGACACATAATAGCAACAAATGTGTGAATAATACCTATTTTAATTTCTGCTCTTCCCAGTCTATCCTTGCATATCTATGTTTTCCAACACCTCAGCATAATTGGACACCCCAACTGCATAATCTCTTGTGTTCACTGAGTGTGAGATGACATACGGTACATTTCTCGAAGAACTGAGCTCTCCATTGCTTTTATTGTTCTGTGTCACAATCTTAATGCTTTTTTAATGGGGTTTTCACAGGGTGAACACTGTCAGCCCATTGTCTGCTATGCTCAGCATAGAGGAATGAGGAGTACATGCTTCATGGAAGCAGGGTAGAAAAATAAAGGGTATCATTAAAATATGTGAGGAAGTGTGGTGGTGAAATAACAATGCTTTCTGTTCTCTGGCATGACTTCTGCCAGTGATTTAGACTGAAATTACTTTTCATGATGTCCATACTGGTCGGGCGGCCTGCAGTAAGAACTAGGAGCAAAGTCATTCCAGAAAAAACTTTCAAATAGTTTATAAATAACTAAAATCACTGCATAAGTCATGAATCATTCGGATGGTCTCTCTAATTTCACTGCATATTTTCTCACTTGGTTTTCATTGATAGGAAAATCAATTTGGACTTGTATGGACTCAAGATCTAGACTCTTTCATAGGAATGCCTTATAGAACAAATCTGTTTTAAAATGAAATAATATCCTGGTTTATTTAGCTCCCTGTCCTGCAAATCACATAAGCTCTTGACTTCTGGCAACTCAAATATTTAAAGTTCTGCTCAAACTATGCTGTGCTGTTGGCATGCTGCCGTATTTGGTTGGATAGATCTTTTTCCTTTGTTTTGCCTTTTTCGTTGCCTTTCATTCTTTTACCTCTTGTATGACGAATCTTCTTCCCATTTTAGTTTTTTGGTTTCCTAAGCATAATATGTTAGCCCCTATGTTTGTAATCAGGCCTAAAAAAGCAAAAAAAAAAACAACAACAAAACATTTCACAATTTCACATTGCTCATATATTGGATACAGGCATGTGGAAGATGAATTTACAGGAAGAGATAAGGGTTAGGCTTTCCGGGCACAACTATCACAAAAGCAGGAAGTAGTTACATTTAGTACAAAGTGAGCGCAGGGTAAGAGAGCAAACCAAGTTGCTTTTAATGCCTCCATGTGATATTTCTAGATTGCACTTTGAGAAAATTCACTGCACAAGCTAACCTTCATAGCTGAAAACCATGGGTTAGTTAATCAAGCCCAACGCACGCATGTACAGACATATCCATAAACCTTGACCTACAAGAGAATGTAGGAAAACAACATCACAATATGGAAGGCCCTGCAAAAGTTTTTCAAAAATATTCTGGAGTCATGATTCCTCTCCCATCAGTCTGGTTTCCTCTGTCTTTTGAAGAAGTACATAGACATGCATTTCCTATGACCTTGCTTCTGCTTTGCTGCAAGGAAAAAGAAAATATGGGAGTTATTTCAGCAAGAAGAAAGCTCTGTGTGGAATATATTTGTCAATACTTCCTACATCTCTGAAAAGGCAGTGGGACTAATTCCTAAACTATAAGTCTCCAATGTGTTTTCTGTAATTGCTTGTTCAGTCTCACCTAACCTAATTATCATCCAGCAGCTGGCCTTGCCAAGTGCCCTGGGTTCACTCAATAATCAATAGAAAAGAATAAGCACCTCCAGAGGATGGCTTATATCATCCTAAGGTAATTATCTAAAATTGGTGGGCTGAATCACCTCTGGTGGTATTTATCTCTTTCCATCAATTATAGCAAGAGTCCAAATGACTGGCTTAAAATGGGTGGTTAAAGAGATGAATCCCGCTCTCAGGTAATGTTACAAGAGGTCTGCTTCCTACAGTGTCTGATTTCTCCACATTGTGGAAAATCACCTTTTCTGTAGCTCACCAATGGGTTCCAATGGCCTCTTGCATAAGTGTCTTTTAGTCTTCTGCTTCCAGCTCTGGGTACTGCCAGGTTCTGCTCAGGCCTTCGAGCTTACTGTGCGTTAGCATTCACTTGAGATCTGAAAGCAGGGCCCTGCATCGTTGCAGCTGCTCCCCAGACCTTCAGGGGGGATGAAAAGGGAGGATAAAATATTCCAGTTCAAATCCTGAGATACTGAGGTAGAGAGAGAAAACAAACACCACCACAAAGCTCCACAGTTGCATCAGCTTCCCCCTCATTAGTCCTAAATTTTAGAATAGATTTCTTTTGCATGTCAACAAGTTACGGTGTAACTTCACGTCTTCACTCAGACAGCCACTGCTTTGCTGCTTCAGGTGATGTGATTTGCTTCTTTCTTCCTCCTCCTGGACTCTTTCATTTCTAGTGGACTGTGTTTAAAAGCTACTATTGCAGCTTTTGGATCAAACTGACCCTCTTCCCTAATACTGCGGGTGAACTTATCCCACTTAATTGTAGGTGTTTGAAAGTTAGATGCTTGTTCTAAACCAGCAATCTGCATTCCATGAGAATCAGCAGAAGAGTTATCACCAGAGGACATTCAACTGCCTAAGTTATGGTCTGCATCGCCTTGCTGGACATGTTAGCCTGTCACCTATGTAGAAAGCTGGTTTGGCTGAGCGCCTCTTGCATGGTCATTGAGTTGAGAGTGTTGTGCTTATCCTTCAGGATGGAACAGACCATACAGAACCCTTTGTCACTGCTCTTATAAGGACATGTGAAGTGCAGGGCAGAGGGTTGATCGAAGTAGCTTTTTGTCTTCTGTCCAAATCACAGGGACACCACAAGTATCTGTGGAGAAACTCCCACAAGCTGGAGCAGCCACTGATGTTCAGTAACTTACAGCCTGAAGTGTAGTGGGGGCTAGTAAGGAAGAGGTATGAAAAGGTGTTTTGTTCCCTGTACCTTACATTTTCTGTCATCCTTCTCTTTGATGCAGCTCCCAAAAGATTTGTGAAAGAGCATAGTTTTCATGTTTCACTGTTCATGAGAGTTAAGTTGGAAGGGTATAGTCTCTGCCCACAGTAAGTTGTCCACTAGAACATTGTTAATTGTTTTCAGTGACCTGCTGTAAATGTAGTGAACCAAATCAGTATTGAAAAAGATAAACATCAGTTGTGTTTCTGCTAGACTATGTTTCGAAGGTTTGTTCAGGTAATTTGTTTTCACCACATAGGAGGGACAAATATTCTCAGATGAGATTTTTCTCACTCTGGGTTTTCTTGCAGATTTTGAAAACAGGGCATGCACATAAAAGTCAGCCAGAAGAAGTTATATAGTCCCTGACATAGATTTTTATCATCAAATATTGCCATGTACCACAGCAATCAGTTCCTACTTGTGTGTCTTGATGTTTCTGAATTTACCTGGACTGGAATAATAAAATCAGATTTCTAAATGCATTTTGTTTCCATGTGCATTACATTATAAACCTTCTTTTTCTCTTTTTTTTTTTTTTTTGTGCTTGACGTTATCCTGCTGCAAAGCACAGAGAAAACAATAAATGAAATTGCACCTGTCTGATTCAGAATATCTGAGTAATACTAAATATCTTAAGCTGGAATATATCTACTTCTGCTAGAAAGGTTTTTCAAACCTTCTTCCCCAAATAAATTCTGACTGTTATTTTACCACAGGTAAAATAATACTCGCAAAAATATGATTGCAAGAAAACCCTGAGACTGATATGACAAATCCTGTATATTTCAAGAATTATTTTTTTCCAGCAAAAACAAATCTACAGTGTACTGTATATCATCCAAATAGCAAAAGGAAGGAATTGTGTTTCATAAAATAAAAATCTGCCATCAGCAAGCTCATATATTTCTTAGTGGCATCATTGGGCTTTGTAAATTTGGACTTAGAGGATCATAAAACCCCGATCTGTGTACAGTGAATTTTCTACTGAGCAGCACAACATTCAAATTCTGCATATTTTCACTAGGATGTATAATCATATATTAGTTTGTAATGTTTAAGTGACTTGCTCCACCCCTGTCAGTGTTCAAGACCAGGTTGGACAAGGCCTTGGGTGATATGGTTTAGTGTGAGGTGTCCCTGCCCATGGCAGGGGGGTTGGAACGAGATGATCTTAAGATCCTTTCCAACCCTAACGATTCTATGATTCTAAGAGGAGGAGGATTAGCTACCAGACTTGTCAGACATATATTCCAAGTAAATACCAGGGGAGAGGGAAAAAAAGAAGACTGAATTTGGTGTTTTTCCACAGAAGCTGCACAGTAAGTTTTATCAGATTTACAGCTTCCTTTTCTGATATGGAAGCAAAACTGTTAATCTTACAAAGGTAGGATACTAGGTAACTTGCACACAGAAGCATTTCCTGAGTAGCTAGCGCTTTAGATGTATGTTCAGTGACATACTTCACAGTTCTGTTTCTTTTTCACTAAACTTTTCTTTGGAATTCAGTTTATATGTATTTCATATGTCTCATCATGTATACATGTGTGTATGTTAAGGTTGTAGTAAGTTGAGGGTTCTATACTAAAAGCTAAAATTGCCTTCTACTGGCATAGTCTTCAATGCCTTGGTTGCTTGAAGCTACCAAGGAGCTTGATACTGCTGCTTTTAATTTATTTTTTTTTGTCTTCCCAAACAAAAAAAACTCGCTAATTTTGTAAGTTCTCAAAATTTTTTGGAAATCCTGCTTTTACAATCTTAATTTTCTTGCAGAATTTTGTCTCAGTTAGGAAATAAAAGTCAGTGTCATAATTTCTTCAACTGTCATCTAGCTAAATACCCTTAAGAACTGATGCCATTGCTCTGGAAGGCTGAATATGAAAGAAACAAGCAAAAGTGCATAAACCACTTGTGTTGTGGTTTGCATATTTCACGTTTCAACAGAAATAACATTTCAGCTGAGAATAAGTTAATTTTGGCTAGAATTTAAGATATGTGTTGTTTTGTTTTTCACTTAACTCTCAGAGCAAAATTATACAGTGCCAAGGGTAATTTAGCCATGTAACTCTCCTGAGAGATTATAAAGACAAAAAGAGTTCTTCTTACAATCTGTTAAGTCTTCTATATAACTAGACTTTAGAGTTCATGCAAAACAATAATTGATGGTAGGCAAAATTTGTGACTTGCTGAATATGTTTTCTGAGAAAGTCTGTGTGGTCAGAGGTGCTAAACTGTGCCTGCCTTCCTCTTGACTAATATTCTACATCTTTTGGCTGTCAGTGTTGATCATGGAATATGAGGATCACTTAATTTATAAAATTCAATATGATCAATTATTGAGTTCAAATCAGAAATCTTGAGGAGTCTTGACAAGAGAATTAGCTGTAAAAAATATATTAATATCAAATAGAAAAAAAAGAGAGGGATATGGGAGAAACACAGAATGGTTAGGGTTAGAAGGGAACTTAAAGATCATCTAGTTGCAGCCCCATTGCCATGGGCAGGGAAACCTTTAGCTCCATCCAACCTGGCCTTGAACACTTCCAGGGATGGGGCAGCCACAGCTTCTCTGCACAACTCGTGCCAGTGTCTCAGCACTCTCAATAAAGTATTTTTTCCTAATTTCTAATCTGAAACATGACTGCTACTGCTGAACCCAGGACAACCCTCAAGTCCTTCTCCTCAGGGCTGCTCTCAATCCATTCTTCTCCCAGCCTGTATTTGTGCTTGGAATTGTTCTGACCCAGGTGCAGGACCTTCTACTTGGCCTTGTTGAACTTCATGAAGTTTGCACTGGCCCACTTTTCAAGCCTGTCAGGGTCCCTCTGGCTGGCATCCCTTCCCTCTAGTGTGTTGACTGCACCACACAGCTTCGTGTCATTGGCAGACTTGCTGAGGGTGCACTCAAGTCCACTGTCTATGTTGTTGACGTAGATGCTGAACAGTGCTGGTCCCAGTACTGACCCCTGAGGAGCGCCACTCATGATGCGCCACTTGGACATGGAGCTGTTAACCTCAACTCTGCAAGTACAACCATCCATCCAATTCTTTATCCACGAAGTGATCCAACCATCAAATCCATGTCTCTCCAGTTTAGCAAAAAGAATGTCATGCGAGACAGTGTCAGATGCTCTGCACAAGTCCATGTAGATGACATCTCATCATAGCATTCAAAACATTTGAAATTGTTCAAGCAATTTTGCTTGAAGTTGACTGATTAAATATATGATAAACCTAAAAGTAGTACTGCAATAAAAGTAATACTTTTCTGAAAAGCTCATATTCCATCTCTTACACAGCTGGATCACAGATATTTGATGGTGGTTATTCTCTTGGAATAGTGTATCTTCTGTTTAGCTGATGTTTCAAATGGTATATTGTGATTGTTAGGGTCTTTCTAAACAGTATTCTTTTCAAAAGTGACAATTTTTCTTCCCTGCTCTATTTATAGGCTCCTTGGACTGAAAGCGCCCTGTGAAGTCAACTGTGATTTCAATAGGTTTGTTATCAAAATCTTCTGTGTTCTGAGTCTTCAGGTTTAAGATTCAAATAAAACTGGGAAAATTCATTGGATAAGTTAGTTTCAAAGTAAATGGCTTTTATAAGTGTCCCTCTAAAACCAGATCTTTGCTTTAAGGAAAAGAAAACCAAAAAGCCCAACACCCAAACCACTTCTTACTCTGTTTTCCTGCTTTCTAGTTGTTTCAGGATAAACCAGGTGCTTTGGCCATATTATTTATTTATTTTTAATATTACAGACAGTTGAGCATCTGGAGTGTAAGCTGTATTTGCTAGCTATTCTTTACAAACCTTGATTCATTCAAACTCCTCATTTCTGAGAAAGTTGCTGAAATAGCTTTTCCAGGGTGAAGTAGAAGTGCTGCATGGACAGAAAATCACAAATTTCATACGGACGATGGACAGAAAGAATCTTGAAAAAAATAAAATCTGCATTAAAATATTATGTATGCCTGTACAAGAGAAGTAAGTAAAAATGAGGCTTTTAGCACTCAAAAACATCCTCAAATTTTCCTGTGAGTACCATCTTTCAATTTAATAGCTATGTGACAGGCATTTGACAACTCTCTCCTGTAATACAGGATGATTTCCCATCTTTATTTTCTGGGTAATATTTCTTTCTAGTGGAGTTTCATTTATGACAGATGCAACAGAATCTGGATTTGTGTAATTTTGCATGAAAAAGGATTGAAAAGGCTGCTTAAAATTCCTTTTGTTAAACATCTCTTGGTGTGCATTATTCTTTTTAAGCACAAAACAAGTCTCTTTTTCAAACATGGAATTTATAGCAGTATCTATTGTAGAGAGCATATTTTGTCCTTTGGAGGAAACTCCAAGGGCTGCCTGAGCTCAGTTTGTAGAAGAGGTCTTAACAAAGTTGCATCCACACTCATTGTTTCTGAATGTGGCTGTTTGTTTCTGTGTCTATATTTCTAAAAGTCTGTGTTGTATTTGGCTAAACTGCCTTCAGGCCTAAAGGGTTTCTCTACTGTCTGGGAACTGACTTATTTCTCCTCCAGTTCTTTCTCTTCAACTGGAGTGAATGTGCAAAACTCAATGATAAATATGTGAATATGCTTAAAGAAATAGCAAATATATTTTGGCTGCATTATTATTTTCATTTCTGTAATATCAACTTCATATTGCCAACATAGTAACATTTTTTCGCAGCAGAAACTAGTACCAAGTAATGCGGAATAATTGGTCAATCACTGAATAACAGCAATAGCAGTTGTAGCTATGGGGTACCCAAGGCAGAAGTGAGACCAGTTGTGCAGCAGCAGATCTCATCTGTTATTAGACTACCTTTAGAGTGATGCATGGCAGTCAGAGGGTCTAGCGACTGTAAATCCTTTGAGGAAAATTTTGTAGTTGTTGCTCAAGCTTAGGAAGTCAAAGTTTCATTAAATCTATTTTCTTCTTTAGTCTCTGTAGTCTCTATTTCAAATTGTACTTTACAATATTTACTGGGTTAGATTAGTTTTCTTACAGCCATGACAGTGAATGTAAAATTTCTCATCACTCTTTACACTCAGTAGAATCAGTGGCATTATCTGAGTCTAAACAGTTTTTGATGGGAGTTCAGATAACACCATCTGTTACGGAAGCTCCTTTATGAAATTGTACCCAGCAAGTGTTTATTGTGGATGTATAGGATCTACTAAGTATGCTTGCTAATTTTTTCTTTTTTTTTCTTTTTTTTTCCTGTTTAAGGTTCTTGAGTTCTTTAATTTGTAGCCTGAGAAAGAAAAAAGTTCACAGGTTGGTTTTTTTTTTAGCAGTCTTTAAAAAAGTTGAGTAAACTACATATGTAATTAGTCTGTAGGGAAATACTGCTTAATTAAAACACAAAGTCATTCGATTAGCATATGCACCTGCTGCTTATGTGGTTCATTTCTTCCAGAAATAACCAAATTACAGAATAGAGATTGTTCTATAGTTCAGCTACCTAGAATGCATGCTTCAG